AATTATTTACAAACGTCTCCATAGTAATTATGTTAAAATATTGATTTTTACAGTTTCTTATTTTAGAGTTTCGCAAAGTTGGCGTCGTAAATTTATCTGAAATGAACTGTTCAACGAGACAGTTGAGAAACAGATGTCGCTGGAATAGACGTCGCTACAAATATGTAGTATTTAAAAAGTAATACTTCTTTACTCCTTTCGACAGGTGCTTCTAACGTAATTTGTGGGGCTGCGCTTCAACAAAGAGTTAACGGAATGTGGGAACCAATAGGTTTCTTTTCAAAAAAGTTTACTCCTCAAGAAATTAAATATAGTACTTATGACCGTGAACTTACAGCTGTATTTAAGGCTATAAAATATTTTAAACATTTATTAGAAGGACGAGATTTTACAATACAGACTGACCACAAACCGTTGACGTTTGCATTTCTACAAAGATCAGAAAAAGCCTCATCGAGACAGCTACGACAATTAGATTATATATAGGATAATTTTCGACAAGTGTAATTCACATTCCGGGATCTAATAACGAAGTGGCAGACGCTTTATCACGGACGTTATCAGTATCCCAGTCGTGGTCAGTCGTGGTCAGTCGAACAGCAATTAAAAGACCCAGAATTGTCGCAGATTTTACAAAGCACAGTCCTACAATTAAAAAAATTAAAAATTAATGATTCAAAAGACTCAATTTATTCTGATATATCAACAGAGACTATTAGACTATATATTCCAAGAGCGTTGCGCAGGCAAATCTTTGACAGTGTACATCCCAGCGGCCGATGTACACAAAAGATGACAGTGAAAAGATTTATATGGCCGGGAATGAATAAAGACATTTTGAAATGGGCAAAAAATTGTGTAAGCTGTCAAAGAGGAAAAATAAGTAGACACGTTAAAAATCCGCCTAAACATATATTGCTGTTCCAGAGAGTTTTCAACATGTTCATATAGACATAATAAGATCGCTATCGACGATAGATGGTTTCAGATACTGTCTTACAATGATTGACAGATTTTCAAGGTGAAGTGATTTCGATTAAGATACTAACGTGGATACGATTGCCACAGGGCAATAGGTTTCTATGGATCGCGATTTGAACTCCAGCGACAATTACGACAGATCGTGGAACACAGTTTGAATCGCAACTAATGCTCTTACAAAATTAATTGGATGCAGACATATCCGCACAACAGCGTATCATCCTGCATCCAATGGAATGATAGAGAGGTGGCATAAATCCCTAAAAGCAGCAATCAGATGTCATGAAAATAAAAATTGGTTAGAAATATTCCCAACAGTCATGCTTGGTTTGAGAAATAGTTACAAAGAGAATTTAAAAGCAACCGCGACTGAAATGGTATACGGTACATTCCTCAGACTACCTGGAGAATTCTTTGTGGATACAGAAACACATAAAGACTTTACAGTAGACAAATTTAGACGGTACATGCAAACAATTCGACCAAAACCGACTAAACATAACTCTCGACGATCATATTTCATTTTTAATAAAATTTTTGATACGTCACATGTATTCGTAAAGGTAGATCATTTAAAATAACCTATGGAACAGCCATATGAAGGTCTATTTCGCGTAATAAAACATATTTCTAATTGATTACAAAGGCAAGGAAACTACTATATCGACGGAACGGTTGAAACCAGCATATATAGAAGATACGGAAAATGAAGAACCACGAACTTACTCGTGATTACAAGTATCGTCTACTCTCCCTAACATGTCGAGTGACTTGGAAGAGGGTAATGTAGCGATGTAGGTACGATGATCGATAATTTATAAATTCACCGTACTACAAATAACTATACACTTTGTTAATATTAATATTTTTAACAACTATTCTTTAACAATATTTAATTACAACTCTTATTTATATCTTCGCTAATTTGTTATGTATCCTTGACAATTATTTACAAACGTCTCCATAGTAATTATGTTAAAATATTGATTTTTACAGTTTCTTATTTTAGAGTTTAACAAAGTTGGCGCCGTAATTTATTTAAAATGGACTCTTCGACGAGATAGTTGAGAAACAGATGTCGCTGGAATAGATGTCGCTACAGCGAAAATAATAATTGTCAAGGATACATAACAAATTAGCAAGGATGTAAATATTAGTTGTAAAAGAGTTAATCGACATTCTACATTCTATAATCTAAAAGTATAAATTCTAAAGTATAAATTCTAGAGTCTAAAATTATTATCAATTAAAAGTGTATAAATAGTTAATTAATTAATTTTTATTGTTCAGTTAAATATTGTTAAATTAAACAGTTATTAAAAAAATAATAATAATAATAAAGTATATTCGTTATATTTGTAGTACGGTGACTTTATCATTTATCAATCATCGTACCTACAAATATGTAGGTACCGTGGTCGGTAAGATCGTTGCTGTGTTCCAGAGTACCCACAAATGTTAGCAATATTTGATTTAATGGACGGAAAGATAAAATAAACTTCCAAGTTTAGGTATATATTTCTTTTTGTTTACACACTGGATTTTCACAATCTCTCGCTCTACATGCTTCGTAATCGTTCTGAGAAGATCGCTGGCACAGAAAAGAATGAGAGTGTTTCTTTAATGGCAAAAAACAAGAAGCTTTTTGCCGCGCTTTTGTTTATTTCACCCCAAAAAGGTGGCGCTGTCCGTTTCATGCAAACGCACCTTTCCATCTTTCGGCGGAAGTAGATGTCACTGCAACACATTGGGTGGCACTCGACGTCGCTACAAATATGCATTTTAATATCTGTCATATAAGTACTATCATTGATTAATAGCACAGACGAGCTATATGAAAAGACATTGCATGACTATGTACTTTTGTGACCACGATTATGCGGTCCTAGGATCACATTACCATTTTTGAGTCACATCCGTATAACCTGTCATACCGATTCAGGTAAATTTTGCACCGCGAAAATCAAAAAATATGGACAGTATTGCCAGATTTGTTTCGAGAATTATTCATTGAATTGAACGTGGTGGTACTTCATCAATGAAGGAATATAACGATTTAAAACAGAGATTGATGAAAATTTAGTATATATTTGAGAATTAACATCTATTTAATATAGTATAATTATAATAAAAGTATTAGAAAAAATTGATTGAAATATATTTTTAACAACATAATTATGAATTAGATATCGTTTTACTTATTTTAGTGTGTAACTTCAGAGTTTGAATCCTGCAAACTCGATTTTATAAAAACTTGAAAGTATCAAAGAAATGTTTCTACAAATATTGTTTGGTATAAAATTGTATTGTGTCACGTAAATTATTTTTTCCAGATCGTTCGTTTTCGAAATTTCGAAGTCATTTGTTAAGAAAAATTCAGTAACTTGCATACGAGCTTATTTATAATTCATTAAAAATTAAAGAATTGTTGTTTAAAGTTCAGTAAAATGTTGTTTAAACTTCAGAAAATCGTACAGTTAGACTTCAATTTTTAAGATTCTTATCATGATTCTGATCATGAAAAAAAATTGTTTAGTCTTCGGCGAGACGTTTGAATTTTTACAATTTTCAAGAACAAAAGTATTCTTAAGTTTGCACTTGCTACATGATATAAAAATAAATATCTTTGAACGAAACAAATTTGAGATTGTTAAAGTGGAGACACTCTAAAAAAATTATTCTACAATTTTTTTTCATGAAATTATAACAGTTTAAAGTATTGATAATTTTTTATCTAGTCTATGAATATTTTCGTTCTTGACCAGAGTTTTTTATTTTTTATTACAGCGCCCCAACGATAAAATACGCAATATACTTTCTACTTCTCGAAATAATCGATATTTCTTACGATCGATTTTTAAGTGAGAGAAATGGTGGAAAGAAGCACACCTTATCTGTAAAGAAGAAAATATCATCCAACAATTCTCAGGTAAAAATATAAATCAATAGCTATTTGATTGTGTGGTGAATTTTTAAGATAAAACATGCATTTTTGGTTTCAAGGTAAGATTCAACCAAGTAATCATTACATATAATTTTCAAGAATTAAAGAAATTATCGCATATAAACATTGAAACAGAACATATTATGCTAAAAGTTATTTATAATTTTGTTTCAAAATTTTATTTCATTTCTAACCAGTATAAATATTGTAACTTTGTAGTTGACTAATTCATTGTTACATATGTATACACGTATTTTATTACATCCTCTTATATATACACTTCTATTACAATATTTTACTACTCATTTGTTGATTCTTTAATCTCATACTGCGTAATTCTTAACAATTTCAATACTAAATGCAACAATAATTTATTGAGGATGTGCGTATTTAATAAGTTAAAATAATAATTTTATTATGTAATATAATGAAATTGTTCAGTTCTTAAATAAAGTAAAGCGCAGAAAGTCTTGAAGTTCGAAATTCGAAGTAAAAAGTAATAACACGAACACAATGTTTATCTTCGTCTTAATTATCGTGTCTGTTCGGACAGGATCAACCCATCTCCTACTATTTTCTCAATTAAAAGATGAGACGTGTCGCGGAGAATCATTCGGCTATCGAATTTAGTGACAACAATACGTATTACGTGACATTAAAATTTTTTCTAATCTATCGGTGGCGTCTTTTCGATGGCGTCGTTTGTTCGACTCTTTTACTTCCATTTATACCTCATTAATAGTATCATTTAATTAATACGCGTGTGTTTAGTGATTAATTGAGCATTACGATAACGAATTGTGTGGTGCTTTGAAACTTTTTGCACAAATTTTTTTTTAATCGTCGATTTCACTCATATGGTTATCGGCAGATCATCTCATACGTTTTTTTAATAGAATTAAAGTTGATTATCATTTCATTTTTACATATTTACCGACATTTGACATATTTGTTCTAATTTTTGATCTCTTTTTATGCGGGTTATTTCTTAATCAGAGATAGCATAAAATGCATGGACATCACAAACATTTCAATTGTTTCAATTCAAAGTAAGATCTTACACGCGTTTTTCGTAATATTTCTTAAATATATTTAGCTGTGAAATTTTGATGTGATATATTACTAATGTGCATACTTCTTATTTTAATAATGAACATTCAGAATACAATAATTGTCTTTCATTTACAGTATTGAGAAATACTTTATAATTTACAACTAATATTTTCAGTACATATTCAAGTTTCTTTATAATCATATTCTAGAAAAATAGCAGTATTTTCTAAATGAACGTATCCCTTGCTCTCTCTCTACAAATCAGTTTTATTTTCAGAAAATTTTTGTGACCGCGCGCAATGCGGTCGGTAGAGTCAGTATTTGTTGCGCAATATTTTAATACTTTTCTGAACAAAATGGCTCTTATTAAATTAAATTATTAATTCATTTAATTTGTAATTCGCGAATTTAGAGCCAGTGAGTCCGTCGATTGCTATTTAAATGTGCGCGTTGATAGTCTTTTAGTTTTTTTTTTTGTATTTTTTCTTGTTCAATATTTGTTTTCGGTTGAGCGTCAATGCTCAAGAAGATAAGGTCTTTCTAAGAGATCAAAATTGTAAGTAGTTTTATATATTGTATCTTACATTATTCAATTTTTCAAATTTAACAACAAAATATAATGTTTTATGTTTGTTACAGATACTTCACAGCATCAATTTTTTTGCATTTTTTGGAGAAAATCCAACGGTGACTCGAAAGCCAGAAATGTAAGAATCTTTCCATTATCTCCAACTTAAGATTTTGCTTTTCTTTTAAATACAAAATTCTAATGTTTAATTAATGTTTTATTACAAATTTTCTACAGTCTCTCCTAATTTCTCCTAATCCTCCAAGAATCTTGCGACGCTTCAAAAATTAAAATTATAAGTATTTTGGAATGTATTTAAATGTATCTCTATAGTTCTTTTTTTATTGAATTATCGAATGTAATTATATTTAGTCGAATGTAAAATTATAATTATAAATTAAAAATACTTCAAATTATTAGTCTCAATTTTTATCATTATTAAAATTTAAATTTTCACAAATAACATTGTGTCTTTAGAAACAAAATGTTTTATGTTTTTTAAGAAATTTCCACGGCGTTTATTTCTAGCATGGGATTCTTAGTGGCACCTATTTGGTGAGGATCTTCACGATAACTTTCTCTGCTTCAGTGCAGCATTGGTGATAACGTTCTTCGCATCTATATCGGGAGTCGCATGCATTTATGTTCCTTCGGTCACTCAATCGTGTCGTAGGACGAAAGATCCGAATCGGCGCGGGTAACTGGTTGTATATGTAGAATTTTTGATGAGCATAGTGACCGCAGGTATTTTTTATGTCCGTGAGTAGTAACATTTTTTCATTTTTTATGTATTAAATCAGAATAGAGCTTCTTTCATATCGCGATTTTAATAATTAGGATATGTACATTTATCGCAATTACTTATAAAATCAAAATCTCTTCAATATAAATGTTTGCAAAAGTAAAATATTCATATGAATATCCATATGAATAGATAAATTATAAATATTTATAAATAATTATTATTAAAATGATTTTGTTTGAACATTTCATAGTAGAGAAGATGGATATTCTTCAACTTCGACTTCGTACTTATGAAAGATTCAGTTATTACTTACTGATATTTCTGATATATTTTGTTATAATAATTAATAATTTTCAATTTCATCTTCAATTTTATAATACCATTAAATGATTTAATTAATTAAATTTTATAATCATGAGCTTCAGTAGAATTTGAAATATAATAGATTAGAATTTTTCCGCAGAAAAATGTATAAAATTTTATGTGCAAAAAGATACTTCGCGACAGGTAGATTTTTGAATTAAAACAAGTTTGGACACTGCTTTCGCACTTTCGAAACTGTGCTTTGATGAAGTCGCCTGAAATTATTTCCATTAATATTTAATTTAGAATCAATTGTTTGATTCGTCAACTGTTAAATTTCGTATCATTTTTAACAAATTCAAGTCTTGCTCATTGTCTTTATTTTCTTGCAATTTCAATAATTTCTTAAAAAGTAGAATCATTGCAGTTTAAAATAAAATAATATACAATAGTCCGTTAGATACAAAATACATAAACTAATCATTTTTTAAATTCAGGATTTTTAGGTTTAACTCCTTCCATGTTCATTGTTAGAATTTCACTCATGTTGCCAGGTGGGTGAAAGACATTGGTCACGATGACCATAGATTATAATTTTATAAAAAATTTCTCAGCGATTGACAATGTGTTAGCGTATTGTATTTGCACGACGTATTTTCCGCATGTGTGTGTGTGTAGTTAAAATGTGGAATTGTATTTTAGAATGTTTTTATTGTATTTCATTCATTATAAGTTGTAATATTTAAAATATGGATGCACTAATTTGAAGTATGAATTTATTACAATAATACCCATTAAATACACTATAATTATATTATTAATTATAACAATGATTCCAAGTTAACTTGCACATGTAATTTGTATGAAAATTATATGTATTTTTTCTCAATTATTAACATCTTGTATATAGCTATAAACTTGTTTTATTTACGTTTTATATAACGTAAATACCTATAATTCCGAGACAAAGATCGTGCAACCTATTTCTTTATTTTCATCATTCCATGGACAGAATCGATCGGTGGAACAGTAATAAAAATGTAACCATGTTAAATTTTTAGATTTTAGATTAGACAACTATGATTTCGTCAGAAAATTCTAAACTGTCCCTTTAACTTGCTTTCCATTTGTTATTCTGCACGATGTCAATAATGATGAAAGGAATTGGAAAGAGAGTGAGAATGACCAATATTCAGTGAGAATATATCATTTTGATTTCGTATAAAATTTCAATGAAGTATGTTAAAATATGTTATTAAATTTTTAACAAACTTGCAGTTAGTTCCGTAGTATACTACAGAATCCACGCGTTAGTAGATGCATAAACATGGGGTGTAGACGACTATGATTTCTAAAAGAAATAATACTGCCTTACGTAAAAAAAAAAAAAAAAAAGAAAGAAAAGGAAAACGATGATCAATAGGAGAGACTGAAAAGGCAATTCAATGCGAGCACTCGAACGATTTTGACGAATCGAATCTTTTCCGAATATATATCAATCATAATATTTATCTTACAAAGTCATTCTACAAACCTATTTTATATTTTATATTAATTTTCGGTCAATGAATGCTTATCGGTGGGACATTTTTAACTGCTGACTGCTGACACTGCCGGACTTCGATATATTAGAGGAAGTTTCAGAGGACTCA